AAAAAAAAAAAAAAAAAAAAAGAAAGAAAGAAAGAAAAAAGGCATCCCCTTGTGGGCAACATTAGCAAACAGTCAAATGCAAATGCTAATCAAAGTCCGCGGAAGACCCCACGTCCCCATTACCTGCTCCCCATGTCAAACGACGACTTTATAACCCAGATGAACCCCGAATGACTACTTTGAAGACCCACGCCACATTTCAATACTAATAGTACTAATTAATCCAAGTCCTTAGAATGCCCACGTCACAAGTCCCACCACAGACGCAATTCTGGGTTCACATTCTAATACCATTCCGAGTCAAAGGAAGACTGATCTAATATTTTAGGTGAGAATTTTTAGGTGCAGATGAGGCATGAAACATCCATCGGAATAAACCCGTGCTGCTAGTTCTTTTTCATCTTTCTCCCCAATGAAAGATATGAGATATTCAACTGCAGTGCTACAGATTATGAAGATTGTGAGAATAGTTGTCAAGTTTCATCCGTTATTGACAATAACTAGTCTTATTTGCCAGGTAATACTCTTGCAAGATTGGATTGAAGAGGAGGTGAGCAATGAATGGAAAACTCTAAAGGTGTATTGCCGATCAACAATAAGAGCTCTGTTGAATCCGATTACTGAGAAAATGAAGAATCTATCGAAAGCCCTCCAGATGCATCTCAACCATGGAGCAGAAAAGGGTCAGCCAAAGACCCAACTCTTAGGTAGACTTGCCTTATTCTCTGCCACATTTCTTCTACTAGATACAGAAGTAAGTTCCAAATATGATAAAAGAGGGTTCAAAGCATGGTTATTGTTGTTTATTGGAATTGAGCTGCTAACATTTTCGAAGTTTTGGAGTCAACTTGGAATTCTGCATGGAAGGTGCGACTGTGTGGCAAATTCAACATCAAATTTCACTTCCTTTATTCTAGCAATTGTTTTTGCAAATTTTTATAATAATTCCTTGAGGAGCCTTAGTTGCATGTTTTTCATTGCGATTTATTTACTATGTCTACTGGTGGTGTTACGACCACGGACAGACCTTGGACTGTTTAGTTTCATCATTGGAGTCATTGGATCCATTACTTACAACCACTTCAAATTCACATCTCCCACATGGATAATTGCCTCCATATGTTTTGTATTGTTCAGTTTCAAAAGCTGGTTAGATAAGTATTGGTTGAATTTGGAACAAGATCAATCACTGAGCTCTGCAAATACCATAGCTGGAAGCACCAACATATTTTTTATTCTGTCATCAGCTGCTATATGAATCGCAGGAGCCATCTTTATGTTTTTTGTTGTCAAATCTAACCCGTTCAATTATAAAGCACTGTTAGTTAGGGCAATCGAGAACATTATATGGACTATCCGCTTTCATAAGCTCTATCCCAAAGATACCTCACTACCCTCTACAAGTACCAAAGGAGTCAATGGTTTAATTTTGACCATTGTAAATGTTGCACAGGGTATTTTCTTGTTTGGTCTTTCCACATCTTTTATGGCTGATTATAAAGTTTGGTTATTTTCAGTAATCAGTTTTGTGATTTTTTGTTTCTGGTTACAAAGCCTTTTCCCCAAAGATTTGTCACTGCCCTCTACAAATGCTAAAAGAATCGTCCGTATGATTTTGTCTTTGTTATCTATTGCCAAATACGGTATTATGGTGTTGGCTGGTTTGGAACCTCGCTTGTACTACAGAGACTGGTTAGTTGTGGTAACTTGTTATGTGCTTTGGTGGGTTCGGTTACGTACATCTTTTCCCAAAGATTTGTTACAATTATTCACCACAGTTGAATTTAATGCAACGCAATGGTGGGCAATGATGATAATTTTCATGGTTTCAGAGGTCACATATTGGACGATAACTGTCTACAACATGCATTAACAAGGATGCTTAGTGCGTAAGTACTTGGATACTTAAAACTTTTTATATTAGTTCCTGTATTATTCTCTTTTTCAGGTATATGTTTACCAAAAAAAAAGTGAAGCGGTGATGGAGGGTGAGTCCACTTTAGTGGGCCTGTAATAAGCATATTCCCTTTCATCAATAGTTAAAAAAAGTGCAATTCATGCATGTTAAACTAAAAAACAGCATTCTCTATGTTTATATGTTTTGTATCTTTACTAAAATCGATCAATCATTTGTAATTTTCAGTCATTTATGTTTTATCAATTAGAATTTATTACAGCTGGCCTTTTGTTATATAGACCTCAAATGTAGCCCCTCCATCTAATTCATACATACTAATAAATGGACACTGCACAATTAACTCATATGCCTTGCATGGAATTTACTTCCTTCGTCCCAATGAGCTCACATGTCTAGTATCTTCACTAAAACCAATCAATTTAGCTTCTTCATGGCAAGGATAGAGGTGATTTTCCCCTCACAAAATTTTGCAGGGAATTTTTTCAATGTCACAAATTCTCATGAGAAATCGTAAATTAATAAAAAATTATGAATAATATTTTTATAAATTATAATAAATTTAAATATCTCAATTTTCAAACCTATAAATTCTAATCACAAATACTTTTGACTCTTGCATCTCTCTTTTTTACTACATTAGTTCATCCTAACCTCACCTCTTTATTTAACGGGGTTTTTTTTTAATTTGAATTTAAGTTATTTATTTATTTTATAGGCAAAACTTACTTTATTTTATTTTATTTGATTCATTTTCAATAAAAAAAAAAACTAAAAATAAGCAATTTTTTTAAAATGCTTTTAGATTATTTTTTGCTAAGAATTGAATAAATCTAAGTATTTTTATATATAATTAAATAAAAAAATATTTTTATATACTTTTATAAGAATTTCCTATACTTGTGGGATCCCTCAATCCTCACAACAATAGGGATAGAGGGCATTTTTTTGCTTTCTATCAAAAAATTCTCCATGAGATTCCCATAATTGCCAATGACAGGAACAGGATGGAAGGGGATCCCACCTCACAGGAACTCATCGCCATCTCTAATCCCAGAGAAACAGTGTCTTCTTATGGAGAAGAGATCAAATTTCACTTGCTTTTGCTGTATTGTGAAATTAGAATGACTTCATTATTTAGGATTTATAATTTCTCAAATCCCACAAGCTGGCTGGATTTTACCATCTACGTGATGTATTAGTTGGTAGATTATTTACATTGAACATGTTCTCCAACCCAGTTTTTTTCTTTGTCTTTACTGGGTAGCAGAAACTACAACATAAATATTTCTCTTCTTCACCTAATATTTGACTACAATGACGTACATCCATGAAATAAGGAAAGCCATAACTTTACACCTAAAACTTTGACAAAATGAAAGAGTTTACCGCCATTTCTTGCGGTTTTGACACCGCAGCTCCAACAATTTTGTTAATCTATGTCTACATTCTTTCTCATCATTGCCTTTTCTAATTTCAGACTAATTTTAATGTCATTTTATTCTGGTATTGGTTCATCCGATTCTTGCGAGTGCTGAATTGAGATGTATAGTAGCATTCGTTGTGAGAAATTCCAATTGAGTGATGGAGTTCTCTCTCTGGTTTTTTCTCTCTTTCTTCATGGTTTTAAATTAATAAATTTCAGCAAATGTGTTCTAGCCAAAAAAAAAAAAAATGCACTTTCATAAATGAACTCAACTACTTTTCTTTTAATCTTGTGATGGAACAACACCAAATACCAGACACTTGACATGAATTTGACATTCGACTCGGTATTGAAACTGTTGAATTTTATTAAGCTCTAGTTGTTTATTGATTTCGAGCATGGAATTGTTACAGAAGATACAAAAAATCATTAGAAATTCGAAAGTATATATGGGAGTCTTAGCCTCTTTTAGTAGGATATGCCGTGCCTATATATGTTAGACTCAAGATCCACCCAAATGAATCTACATTGTTGGGATAGTAATTTAGCTAACCCATAAACATAATAAAGGGTCATGAGATCCAAATACAAAAGAGAACATGCATGAGTAATTGTGGATCTCATATACACTTAAATGAATCCAAAGGGACCAATAAAAATACAACACGTGTAAAGCACTCTAAAAAAATCTATAAATACCCCTACACCTTTCAAAGATAAGGGACTTCTTCGAGAGCTCTTCTCTCTTTATTATACTTTTCTTTCTAAAGAGAGCCCCAAGTATAAAGAATATTGTCAACTTGGATATTGGAGTGTTTACCCCGAGAGACGACCCCTTGGGTCTGTTTTGCA